TCCTGGACCCCTGAGTCTATGTGAGTTGACTCGATGGATATTATTTTCAAGGGGACAATTCCTAAACAAGCCATGCTTGCTGCTCCCCCTTCAGATTAGCACAGAGAAGGGGGTCTGTTTCTACCCCGATGACTCCTGAAAGTAAGACAGCCCCTGTTCCAAGTTTGTCTTTAAAAAAATGCCTTCCGACTGCCCATGGAGTAACCAAAAGGGCACCCTTCAGATTAGCACAGAGAAGGGGGTCTCAGTTTCTACTCCCGACCGCCGGTGCCGCAGAACTGCCTCTCCTTCTGTGGGCTGCCGAGGTACGACCGTCTCGCTTTATGTTCTGGACAGATCCAAAGCAGTGCCCAGCTCCACACGCCCTCATGAATCAAGATCAGAACCCCCCCAGTCCACACGAGGGTGGAGGGCATTTAGGGAAAGCGTTCCACCAAATTGCGGCCCTCTCATGCGAACCCTAATCCCGGGCTTTCCCAGGCAAGAGAGGAGCAGAGGGGGTTGACCGTCGCCTTCCTCTGCATAGCGACCCTGGATTTCCTTGGTGGTTTCCCATCCAAGTACTAACTGAGGCTTACCGTTGCTTAGCTTACGAGATCTGCTGAGATCGGGCTAAGGTTGTCAGAAGGCAAAACCCACCACCCAGGCTCCACTGGACTGTTTTGGATTGCTAGCTATTTGGGGGGGGGGGAACACACTTGCAGATCTGTCCTCACAGAGGAGGGAGAGCTTGTACCTGAATAAAACTTGAGCTTAAAGGTGCCACTGGACTGTTTTGGACCGGGGGGCTGGGTGGTGGTGGTTCTGCAACTTACCTGGCTGCTTCTTGCTCTGAGGGCTGCTGGGAGCAGGGGGTGGGGCTTGTTGCATGTGCCCGCCCCCTGGGCTCGTTACTGCCGGAGCTCCACTCCTGTGCGCTCCTGCAGGAAATGACCCCTGCTTCAAACACCCTTTGGTTACCTTTACTATTGACAAGAAAATGAAATCCAGGGGCTACCTTTGATTGAGGAGTTTTGTCCAGGTTTGTGAGGACTTTGCAGGGGCCTTTTGGCCAGAGTTCCAGCATCGTCCCGACGATGCCACCTTCTGGAATGAGCTGTCCCACCAGTCCGGGTTACCTGCCAAGCTGATTGTTTCCCCTCGGCAATAATAGCCAGCCCCTGACTCTCAGCAAAATCCTTCAGCTGTGGTCCAGTTCCCATAGACCCTTGTGGATGGGCCCATGGACAGGGTGGCACGTGCTTCCCTCCCCCCTCAGTGTATAGAGCAGGGCTCCCCAATCTTTTTGAGCCTGCAGGGACCTTTGGAATTCTGACTCAGGGTGGTGGGTGCAGACACAACGCAGCTGCCACAGGAAGAGGAGCCAGCCGCTAAACGTCAGGAAGCGAGACTACGCAGAACTTTCAGCAGCAGAAGAAGAGATTGGACTTATACCCCGCCCTTCTCTCGGAGTCTCAGAGCGGCTTACAATCTCCTCCCCCTCCCCCTCCCCCCAACAGACACCTTGTGAGGTAGGTGGGGCCGAGAGAGCTCTTTCGAGGACTGCTCTTGAGAGAACAGCTCTGAGAGAACTTGTGACCAACCCAAGGTCACACCAGCGGCTGCAAGTGGAGGAGTGGGGAATCAAACCTGGTTCTCCCAGATTAGAGTCCGCGCTCCTAACCACTATACCGAACTGGCTCTCACTTCAACGTTTCAGGCGGAAGCTTTGATTTAATAGGCTGCCTTTTCAAGTGACCCATTTTTTAAAAGAAAAAAAATATATTTTCTTGCACACATACGGCTTCCTTTCAGTCACACAGTGAAGATCCTCCGGCAGTGTTGGCGGCTGCTGCTGAAAAGCATTAAAAATTTTTTTGCTCAGTTGGCGGCTGCTGCTGAAAAGCATTAAAAAATTTTTTTGCTCAGCCGATCAGCTCTCCAATGGACAGCCAGAAGCCCTACTAGGCAAGTGCCCCACCCACTTTCTGAAAACACCCGGCACAGAGCACAACATGTCGCACCCACACATTGGACAGACAGGCAATCCACTCCCCCTCTTTCAGTGGGCCCAGCTGGGTCTCAAGCATGCTGGTGGGCCTCAACTCTGTGCCCTCCCCAGTGGTGGACTTCATGCTCTAAACTTAAGTCAGCTGACTACCAGGAACAGTGTTCCCTCTAAGCTGAGTTAGTGTGAGCTAGCTCAGTTTTTTAGCCTCCGGCTCACACATTTTTCTCTTAGCTCAGGAAGGAGGGCTCCAGAGCGAACTAATTCATGCAGTCGCCAAATTGCTTGCTCACAACTTTAATGCGAGTAGCTCACAAAGTAGAATTTTTGCTCACAGGACTCCACAGCTTAGAGGGAACATTGACCAGGAACCAATCAGAGAAATGCTACAGTCAAAGAGGAAGCCACACCAGAGGGAGACGAGTGGGTTCGATTGTCACTTTAATCGTGGCGACCAACGCATGCACCGTGAACAGGATGATCATCAGAGGCTGGGTCCTTGAACCACATTTATTACCATTTCAATATAAAAAGTTAACAGGTTCTGAAATGTTTCTGCA